CATGGCGCACATGCCAAGTAACTATACTAGCTAATTACGTCATTCTTGTGAATGCGAGCGTGCCAACTAACAACCGAGCTCGATCGAGTGAGTACAACAGATGTGGTGGTGGTGTTGAATGCACTGCTGACTTCTGTAGTTGAACAACTATGTCCGAGGAACGCGTCTTGGCCTTGGGTTCTAGGAGACAAGGTTGCCTAATTCACTGCGAAGTTTAGAATCTTCTACATCGCGTTTTGCTGCCTTGACTATATTCGTAAGAATATAGATGCATCAAATCGGTATCAAGCTGCCAGGCAAATATACTCAAAGGAGATGCTGTTTTTATAGTAAACGTGGTTCAACTGTCTAAATGCTGAACTGCTAAATGCATATGAGAGTAACCAATCATATAACAATTCACTTCGTTGGGAAGCTGGTGAAGTGACCTCTTTGGGCGAGAAAATTAAGAATTCTTTGCTTGCCTAGAGTTGGATAGATAACCAACCGACAAAAAGCAATGCTATTTTACTTTTCCAAACTGAAGTGTTGCTGAATCTATTGGTTATACAACTCTAGTGTTGTTTACATATTCAAACTGAGAATGTCATCGGTTGCCAACGCAGTGATGTTTACTTATCCAAATTGAAGATGTGTTGACGAGAGGGTTATGATAGTATTTTTCTTAGGGTTGTGAGAAGGGCTTTGTGTACAGCATTTTGAGCTATTTATTGAGTTGAAGGTCTTTTCTACGTTGCAAAACCTCTTATATTAGAAGGGAATGATATTGTGATGAAACAGGCTTGCTAAGGTAGAGTCTTGATAGGACTTTGTTTGCTCCATTTACTTGAATATTCTCCCAGCCGAAACCGAAATTGTATCCTTAGAATGATTTGCATTTAAATAGAGCTCATTTTGATCCTTAGCAATTTCAGTTTGCTAATCTAAACTTAATCCTTTCACAGTTCACCTCCATAAGGACTCGATCAAATTAGTCTCTTTAAGCTGAAAATCCACTGGCCTAAGGAATTACTATTGGGTCGAGGATCATGGCTTTTCAACTCAGGTTAACTCATTCTCGACTCAAGCTGATATTTCAGACCCAAACAGGTACCAAATATTCTGACTGTTTTTATTTTTTTTGCTAAAAATACATTTACAATTATAATTTATCAAATACTTAACTGCTTTAGTTCATAGATGTTTCTTCTCACATCACAATAAAACTAGTTTTGAAAAAAAACCCATTAATAGGTCAATGGTATTTTTATTAATGAAACAAAATTGAAAACGTTGGGGGTTGGAAGTTGGGAATTACAAAAAACAGAGCAAAGAAAAATTTCAGACGTCAGCGTTTCTAAATTGGTTGAGGCGTTGAGCTACTCACCTACATGCCTTTTACTCCTCATTTATTATTCTTCTTCTTCCCATCTCTCTCTCACTCTCTATAATTGCTGTCTAGGCTCGTAGATCTGCCTTAGACATCGGTCATCAATGGCGGTACCATTATCCGCTCTCAGGCGCCTATACCTTTCCCTCTACAACTGGACAGTCTTCCTAGGATGGTACCCAGTCCCCACTCTCTCTCTCTCTCTCTCTCTCTCTCTCTCTCTCTCTCTCTCCAACTGGATTCGATTTGTGTTTCAGGTTTCAGGTACTGTATCTTGCTCTCAAGACTCTCAAAGAATCCGGCCACCAACATGTCTACAGTGCCGTCGAACGCCCTCTGCTTCTCGCCCAATCCGCTGCCTTTTTGGAGGTTCTACTTCTACTGCTCCCTCCATTTGCTTACTATTTATTTTTTTGAATATTGGAGAATGTATTTTCACGTTTAATTTTTCTCGGGTTATTCTTTGAATTGCTGGGATGGAGAAACAGATTCTTCATGGGCTAGTGGGTGAGTACCTTATTTTCCTTTGTTTATATGTTAAAATTCAGCTGATTAAATTATATTTTGTGGGTTTTGTTAATTGTTAGTTCTTATATGGGATTGCATTTGATGCAGGTTTGGTGAGATCTCCAATAACAGCAACACTGCCGCAAATCGGTTCGAGATTGTATCTGACATGGGGAATCCTGTGGAGTTTTCCTGAGGTTCGAATGCAAATACAAAGTTTGGGGTTTAAATTTTTAGTAGCATTTTATTATACATGAAAGTTCATTTCTTTTGGATATTTAAGTAACAAGATGAAGCTTATTGCTGCAGACTCGGAGTCATATGCTTGTTAGCTCTTTGGTCATCAGCTGGTCTATCACCGAGGCAAGTGTTATCTGATCTTCATTTCTTGCGCTTTTTGCTCTCGTCTGTGTTTGCATCTGTGTAAAAGTGTTATTATTGCAAGTATATGCACTTTTGTTTTCAAATTTTTGGTGCCTTAAGCAATCTGGGTCATTAAGTATTGTTCTAAACCATTGATCTCGCAATCTGATTTTGTCTGATAAAATAGCATGACCAAGTTTGTATTGATTTGTTTTATCTGAGAGCGTGATGTCTCTTATCAGATTGTGGATAAAAGGAATTTTATTGTGGAATTGTAAGACTTGGCATTTTGGTTTAGATTGTCTATGAAAGGACCTTTTAATACCTAGGCTTTTAGCTTGATGAAATGATTTTAGTAATTCCTAGTTTGTTGCTTTAAGAACGAAAGAAATTTTGGTCTAAAGTTTGTCTTGAACTTTTGCTTCAAAAGCATGTAATAAGAGCAACTCAGAATGTATGTTTTCTGCTCCCAAATTACCTTAGAAACCTCATATGCTAAGGCTCGAAAAATTTCCAGACAGAAATTTCTAATTTCTAATTTCTAATTTAAAATTTGTATGTCATAGCTGGCGTTTATAACAAGTTGGGTTTATACAGAATATTTGAAAATTCTCAGACAATTGCTTCTTTGTTTAACTTTCCAAAACACTTTCCAAATTCCTAACTTAAGGTAATACATACTGAAACCAGGCGTTGATTGCTTTAATACATGCTGCCGTCTTAGGGTTTAAAGTGCGATATATATTAGATTAATTTCACTTGTGAAGCCAGTTAAATTTATGCTGCCGTCTGATGTTCATTGCATTAATACTTGCATCCTGATGCTGATTGCAATCATATTGACTTTTTCTTCAGTTGTAGTAGGAGTAAACAAATTCAGATTCATTTGTTTGTAATTGCAGATTATTCGATACTCTTTCTTTGGTATGAAGGAGGCACTTGGTTTTGCACCTACATGGCTCTTGTGGCTCAGGTAGTTCATCAGTTTTGTGATCATTGGATGTGACGGGAAGTAGTTTTAGTCCTGCGATTCATTCATTCATCGTTATTTTGTATTCAATGCCATGCAGGTATAGCACCTTCATCTTGTTGTATCCAACTGGCATCACAAGTGAAGTTGGTCTAATATATATTGCCCTGCCACACATTAAGGTATCAAATTATATGATTCATAAAAGAAAAAACTTTCTTTGCCTTTTTTGTTGTGGAGGGTGTTGCAAGAGGAGTGGTTTTCTGGGTTTTGCAAGTAGGTGTGTTAGTCGTTTATTACTCATCTAATACATGGAACTTTGCACATCATCTTCTACTTGTCCACAGCAGCTACAAAGAGTGTATAGCGTAGTCTTTGAAAGTGTTTATTTATGTTCACCAAATATGTTCTTTATTTGCAGAACTCTGAGAAGTATTGTATAAGGATGCCAAACAAGTGGAACTTCTCTTTCGATTACTTGTATGCTGCAATTGTTGCACTAGGAATCTATGTCCCAGGTACGCATCTCTTTCACTGGCATATTTTAACCACACTTAAAACTATTTGGCCGGTTTTTGTTTATTTTCTGGTGGATTTATCTGTTGCAGGGAGTCCTCACATGTACGGGTATATGCTTGGACAGAGGAAGAAAGCTCTTGCAAAAGCCAAAGGGGAGTAGACGGCAACAAAGTTTCAATGTATTTCTCATGATGATTAATCATACGGTTTTGTGTGTAAGATGGAATTTTATTCTTAAAAAGGTTTTCAGCCAGAATCATTTTTGTTTTGATGAATTTCTTACTTGTTTAGCTAAGATTCAGGTCACCATAAAGTTAAAAACAGGAATGTGTGGATGTATTTACAGAGATTTGCTGCTACGCGGTTAAAAGCACGAAACTTGTTCCTCAAGGAAAGTGAAAAAAGAAAAAGAACTTTCAAAAGAAAAGAAAAATGGTGAGGAAGGTGAATAAAACAGGAAAGGTAAAAGTAATTTCCAAGTTGGTAAAAAACAGGAAACTATTTTCCAAGTTAGATTACGAATAATATCAATCTCTCTCTGCATCTGTTCATTCAACAAATCTCTGTAAGAAAAAACAGTCCGGCTTGTGAATTGCAATAGAGAACGTTCGTGGCAAACGTATTCTGAAGGAGGCATTGGACGAAATCCGAAGGGATGCGATGGAATTGGCAATGTCGGAGCCCGGTGGAAAAGTTTCAAGTTTCTATGGTAATATGGCAACCAAGTGTTAGGATCATATGACTTGGGCCTTTAGCTAGCTCTCTTCCAGCCCGTCCCTTAACCAAGTTCACTTAAAGCCCAGCCTGTTTTCCTTTCGAATTCTCTTATTATTTCCTTTTCTTTCTGCACAATTGCTCTGATTTCTAGCTTTCTGTGTCTGAGACCGATTGGGCCTACCACCAAGCCTAGATTCTTGTAAAGTTTTCGCGTTCGGGTATCCTTCTGCTTTCAGTGTTGTTGAAGCGATGGTAAAGGAACAGCCAAATCCTACCAGTATTGTTGATGCGTTGGTGGCGGATCAAAAAATAATATGAATTCACAACGCATTAAGGGTCTGAGAAATCAAGGGGCCCCTTTGAGTGGCTTGCCTCGGACCCCTTGAATCTTAGGACCAGTCCTGATTTCATGTTAGCATATCAAATGTGCACATGCTCGACTTACATCATCAATTATCTTTTAAACTTGAATAGACATAAAATTGCAGCAGGAAACAACTAAAATTTCCTTAACCATTATATATGTGAGCCATTTATTGGTGTCAGAAGCAGAAGAACAAAAATTCTATATCCTCCTTTGAGAATGTTCAAATTTATCTACACTGTTCGGAGCGGAATAACTTTTTAAGCAAAGAAGGTGCTGCTAATTAACATGTTTAACGAATACAACATATATAAGAACAGAAACAGATTATGAATAAGCTTGGAGCTTGAAAAAAAACGAAAAAAGATGAGGAAATTAAAGGAACTACTGTGTTTTAGCTGCTCTTGTTCCGAAATTTCATTCTTCAGCAGCGCTAGCAGCACTCAGATCCACACTCAAGTCAAGGGCCTGAAAACATGGTGCAGTAAGATAAATCAACTTGGAGTACTGATGCAAGAGCTCAAACGTAACCTCGACCGATTTGTGTATAAAGCAGCTGCTGATTAAGTCCTACATTTATATTCCTCGTTTAAAGGGCGGGATTAGATTGATCCTCAATGTTCAATCATTCGAGTTGGCTAAATGGATTTGAAAATTTACCTTTCCAGTTATCTTGCTGTACATGGCAATCACATCTTGCACGGTAGTCTCAAAGTGCGTCGTTGCGTCATAACTCTGCAATGCATTCCAACTCCAAGAAATGAACAATGACTTCAAAGTATCAATTCAAATACAGACAGGCTAGAAAGTAACATTGAAAACTACTTGGGTTAATCGCCTTTATAATGAACGTATGGCCGGCTTGTGTCGAAAGCAAGTGAAAGTAGGGTTTGCGAGTTAAGCACTATTAGTTGTCATGAGTACAAATTAAGGTATAGATGTATGAGCTTACGAATAATCAAAATGAAGATGTAAGAAATCATTTATTCTCACCGCGGATATGAAACAATTGTCCCCAGCATCCTGGTTAGTAGGTTCGTATCTGTCGTAAGTGTCAAAAAAGATTTCATCTACAGCCCCAAGGAGATCTGTTCCAGGCTTCAGTTCCACTTGGGGGTTATCGGTCTCTGCCTCTGTTAAAACAAAGGCAATGTATTTCCCTTTTGGAGCTACATTATGGGAGTAGGAGCAGCAAAACAAGTACCTGCAACAGAGGCATATCCGGTCAAAGAACTTCATTTGCAAGGTCTTACCGTTCTCATGATAATTTAATTCTAATCGCAATGTGGCTTCTAGCAAGCACCATGAGTATGGCATCGTCATACAACTTGTGTTTATTTTATATATGCTTTGGCAAGTGCCTTCGCCCATGAGCAGTAGGTCTCAGGTTCGAGACTTGGGAGCAGCCTCTCCATAAATGGGGGTAAGGCTAGCCGACATTCACCTCTCCTAGACCCTACGTAAAGTGGGAGCCTTGTGCACTAGGTACGACATTACGACATTACATGTTACCCGATTCTCAATGATTTTGAGTTCTATGGAGGAATGACACAAAATGAAAACGACCTATGCAAACAAATAACGCATTTAACTTAACCCTTGTTGTGTGGGTTGAAATGCATATGTTTGTACAGATCAAGTGTCCTTCGAAAGGTCCTTGAATAAGGACTTACTATTAGAGAATAATTAATTGAATTTGTGTTATTGGCATTCGAGGTAGCAACTTACATATCAGATTTACGTCCAAGTTGCTTCTGGGGTAGAATAACCTGGACTGAGTGAGAATCCTGGGTGTTTGGGATTGGATGACTCATAATACATATGGCACGGGCAACTTTCCCTACCTTCTTCACCTGTTGCACGAGATGGAGATTTGAACTCAAATCAGTTCAAAAAACTTTTCATGCCAGATGACCCTACTGGTATTAAAATTTTTCTCAACGTTACCTTGTCAGGCAAATATGAAGGATCACATACAACTTTTTTGCATTTTGCAGTTTCTCCTTCGGAAGTCACACCAATGGCCTTCTTGTTTTCAAACTCTACCTGCCATTTTGCAACATCAGTCAAGTATTGATAATACGAACAAAACGGGTGGGTTTAAATTTCCGATATGCATGAAAAAAAAAAATATGACCTTGCATTCTGGCTTGCTGAGCATGTAGGTGCCGCCATAAACAGCACTCAACCGAGCAAAAGCCTGCAAATTTCATAGCACATATAGTCGGAGGAACTAAGTTGCATATCCAAGTGATACTAGAACTAATTGTTGAAAGCATACCTGGGGGAGCTCTCCTAGACCATACAGGGGATAAATATATGGAGATCCTCCTTGAAAGCGTGCTAGCGACTCTGCATATAACTTTCCGAGAGGAGGTAGAGCATATTATAGAACACTGTAAAGTTGAATTGAGAAAAATTTCTAGGGTACTTCTAATTAATGCTTTTGAAAAATCTGCCATTGTCCATATATTGCCATATTGCCTCGTAGAACATATGCAACTTATTCATAGTCATAAGTATCAATCACCAACATTCTTTAAATAAAAAATTCATGCTTTGTTACCTTCATCCTCTTCACAAAAGCCATAGCAGGCTCGGCTAAGTAATTATCATCTCGGTGGAGAGCTAGTGCATGCCCAATGAAATCAACTGTATTGTCATCTAGCCCGTACTTCCTATGTCAGAAACAAAAAATTCTAATTCCATCGTGTAGAAATTAAACATATAGCACAATTAATGAGGTTTTGGATGTGAGGAAGAAGTACAAAATAAGCTCTCGTGCTGTAACTTTGTTGAGGTCCATTCCTTCATGAGATTTTGGATCATTCTCATCATAGTCTTGCACATATATGAAAAACTTGCGAGCTCGTCGTTTCTCAAATAATCCCATTAGTGGAGATTTAAGTGCTTCCACATCATTAGCTGGTACTTTGTGAACCTGGAAACATAATGCACAATCACAACGAAATTAGGGTGAAGCAAAGTTAGTGGTTCCATATATGTCGTTTAGATGACAGATGAGTAAGCACTAAATGAAATTGGAACTTGTTAGGAATCACACCTTCCCTTTGTTATACACAAAACTACCATCAACAGCCTTGAAATTCAGATATTTAGTAACGTTAGTGTGAATCAGGACGCGAACCAAACCACCATTGGCCATCATGAACTGTCAAAAATACACAGAGGTTGTAAAGAATCAAATTATCAGAACAACACGTTGAACAAATCGAATGACCCAGTACTTTTAAGAGATCACTTGTCAGAAATAGTCAGCTTTTAAGCAGACTTCATGTAATAAAACAGTTCAGACTAATGAAACAAAATGAAATTCCTGAAACAGGTTTCTTCATTGAGAAACATTGAATATGGTAAAAGACGAGATTATTGCTAACCGATGAGCTGCTGAATATCTAGATCACATCATTGACAGGCTTAAAAATTAACATGCAAATTAACACAGAAGATGTTACATCATGATCATCACCTATATATAAAGATTGGGGGCAAGTGAAAGTAAAACTAAGAAAAGGAATCAAAGAACAACCATAAGAAATATATGCATCATTCATTTTACCTTGGGGATCATATCAACATTGTAGTCTTTACTCGAGCCCAAAGTTTCTGGAGGCTTATCTTCTCCCCTGAATCGCTTCCAAAGCTAAAATCCAAAAATAGAAAACAAACCGAAGCCGTAAAAATTACATGCATTATAACATCTCACCAGAAAGTATGCCAAACTGTGTAGCCAAAAAAATTACCAAAGATTATTAAGATACTTACCTGGTTGAGATTGAGTGAGGTAGACTCTCCTCCATAGTAGTCATTCCTATCCATATGCAGTACCTATTTCAGGTAATTAAATAACATATTAAAAGCCTAAACATTCTTATTGATAAGTGATAGCAACGACAATCTTAAACCCCGATGTTGATCTCTCTTACAAATTGCAATGAATGAAACCTAATCAGATTATCAGAGTGAGAAGAAATCATCCATGGTACATAGAAAAAACTCATCAATAATCACTTTTTAGCTTTATGAAAATGCACCTCAAATGTACAATATTATTAGCACTCCAAAATAGTAATTATGCACTCTTCATCAGTCATTTTTATCATTAGAGAGGAGTGCGGAATCATTATTGTGGAGTCACAATAATGTCTCCCATCCACAAAATTCAAACAGCTAGAGTGTATAAACCTACATTTCGAATTCATATATATATATATATATATATTGGGGAATTAAAATCTAATCAAGAATGTTAACCTAAATATATATAGACCAAAATCATTTACATGATTAATGAATGGGTGGTTTTTGAGAATATGAATCCAACGTCGGAGAGATAAGAGACCTAGTTTTTCTTGTAATTAATTTGCAAAGAAAGAATAATTTAATTCATAATGAAGCGGAGGTTTAATTACCTTGAGACCATCAACTGAGAGGAGGCCGCTGAGAATGCACTCTTTGAGGCCGGTTCCGAGCACGATGACGTCGTATTCTTCATCCATGGCTTTCAGAGATGAGAGGGAAACCCACTCTGCGTTTTTTTGTGTTTGAGTGAGAGAAATGGGGATTTGGTTAATGGGAAGAAGATATGCGAGGAAGATTAAGTGAGGCTATAATTATGTCAAAGAGAGAAGGAAGAGGTCTCTGACTCTAGCAAAGCCAGGCGTCCCTCGAGTTTCGGTTAAAACCGTTATGTGCCCCCCACGTAGGTTGAACGTGGACCCATGATAAAATAAGAATGTCTTTTTCAAAATATGTTTCTGAATTCCCCTCTCCGGTAATTTGTTTGAAGTTGTAAAATATTTTCCTTCGTGTTTTTTTTTTTTTTTGAAGAAACGATAATAGTTTTATTTATAACGTTAAGAAATCATACAATCCTCAAGGGCCTGCTCAAACCTACAAATAGTTAAATTAAAAGTTAAGGCATACTTGACCATTCTATGCGCGCTATATTAGCGGATATATGAACATGACAAACTCTTGAAGTATCAAAACCCCGCGCATTAGTTTTAGTATCGTCAATCAGCAAATCAATAGCGGAAGAGCCACCATTCAAGCTTCCAAGAGCTTGGACCACATTCCAAAATAACTTGCTGCCAACTTCGTTGTGAAGCCAAACAAACACCATCTCGTGCTGCTAAGACCTCAAACATCCTGGGAGTTGTCACATGAGATATTTTACGAGCAAAATCTCTAGCATAGCATCCGACTTCGTCAGAAAATCTCACACACCAACACCCCCAGAATTTGTAGCAGCATAGAAGCACGTCAACATTAATCTTGATCCATCACGGTGGGGGAGGAAGTCAGCGAGAAGGAGACTGAAGTTGCCAAGTTTGAGGGTTGGCTGAGCTTTAATAAAATCAGGGAGATGAAGGCCTGCAAGATGACACACGAGTGCAGGGTTCTCCACCTTGCCGTCCCATAGGAGAGAATTAGCTCACCATATAGAGTGAACAAGCATCGCATCAAGAGAAGGACAAACTGACTTGAGGAGAGAGCAGCAGGACATTGGTTAAGCCAATTACAAAATGAAGAAGGTACAACACCTCTAGTGCCAGTTTCGATATTGGAGGAGAAAAATACAGCAAGTGCAAATGGACAAGCACTAAATGTAGAAAATGTTGAAGAAGATATTTCTCATTCATATCTTAATTGTACACAGAGATATATATAGTCACAAAGACTCTTTACATAAGTGACCTTATCTTCTACAACTAATTACACAAATACCACAACTAACTATTTACTGTTGTAACTAAATTGTGACTGGTTTAGGTCTCTCAATACACCCCCTCAAGCTGAGCTTGGGATCAATTGAAGAACCAAGAGGAAGCTTGGATTTTAGAGCAGCAAATCGACCTTTGGACAGAGACTTGGTGTGTATGTCAGCGAGCTGATCCTGACTACAAACAAAGTGAACCTTGATGAGATTAGCTAAGACCAACTCGCGAATATAATGATAGTCAATCTCCACGTGTTTAGTTCGGGCATGAAAGACCGGATTAGAAGCAAGAGAGATGGCTGAAATGTTATCACACCAGAGAGTGGGAGCCTGAGAGAGAGGAAAACCAAGGTCACGAAAAATTTTACAGATCCAAGTCAGTTCAGCTGCAGTGTGGGCTAGAGATCTGTATTCCGCCTCTGTGGATGACCGTGCCACAGTAGCCTGTTTCTTGGCACTCCAACTGATAAGATTGGATCCGAGAAAGACATTGTAACCACTAGTAGAACGGCGATCAAATAGACAGCCATCCCAGTCTGCATCGGAGAAGGCTGTGAGATTAGTGGCACCCTTTCTGAACAATAGACCTTCAGATACAGTACCCTTGAGATAACGAAGAATTCGTTTGGCAGCTTGCATGTGTTGGTCTCGAGGAGCATGCATGAACTGACAGATTTGATTCACAGCAAACGAAATATTGGGACGTGTCCATGTCAAATACTGTAAACCACCAACAATGGATCGATACTCAGTTGGATTAGAGAAAAGAGGACCACTGTGATCCAATTTGTTAGAGCCAAGGGGAGTGCAGCAAGGCTTCGCACCAGCCATATTAGTTTTCCGGAGAAGATCAAGTAAATACTTTGTTTGATGGAGGAAGAGACCTGTGGAAGATCGTTGAATCTTTAAACCCAGGAAGTAGTGCAGTGGACCCAAATCCTTGACTGGAAAAATATCACTGAGATTTTGAATGAAGAGACAGGTCCAGTGACTAAGATATCATCGACATACACAAGCACCATGACAGGAGTAGGACTAGGGAGAACAAATAAGGAAGCATCGGAGGAAGATTGCTGAAAACCAAGCTGAAGAAGAGCTTGAAACAGTTTGTCAAACCAAGCTCGAGGGGCTTGTTTGAGACCATAAAGGGATTTCCTTAATTTGCAGACATGATGCGGCATAGTAGGATCAGAGAAACCGGGAGGCTGCTGCATGTACACATCTTCCTTCAAATCACCATGAAGAAAGGCATTACTGATGTCTAACTGATTTAGAAACCAATTGAACTGCACAGCAAGGGACAAAAGGATTCTAATTGTGACTGGTTTAGCCACAGGACTGAAGGTCTCTTGAAAATCGATACCTTCCTGCTGATGATACCCCTTTGCAACTAAACGAGCTTTAAAGCGCTCAACAGTACCATCATGTTTCTTCTTGATTCGGAACACCCACTTGCAGCCAACCACATTGTAGGAGGAAGATGGAGGAACAAGGGTCCAGGTGCCTGTTGATTGTAATGCATTAAACTCATCTTGCATGGCAGATCTCCAATGAGCATGTTTAGAGGCTTGCAGATATGTAGTTGGAATAAAGTCAATATCAGAGGGAAGAGGATGTTTGGTAGCTGCATAAACTTTGGGCTTGAAGATACCAGCTTTGGAGCGAGTGATCATATGGTGAGTATTGGAAGGGGGCAGTGACATAGTTGTTGCAGGGGAAGATACGGATGCATTAGTCAGAGAATCTGTACTTGGAGCAGCAGTAGGAGGAATGGACTCTTGAGTATGGCCAACGTGTCCAGGAGGAACACCAGTATGCTGAGGAACGGAAAACTGCAGATCCATGGGAGCGATAACAGAGTCTGAAGACAGAACATGGATGGTAGGAGAAGACTGAAAATGATATGTTGCTTCATCAAACTGCACATGTCTGGAAATATAGAGACGATTAGTGACTGGATCAAGGCATTTATATCCTTTGTGCTGTAAACTGTACCCGAGAAACACACAGCTTTTGCTCTTAGCGTCCAGCTTGGAATGAGTGTAAGGTTTGAGCCACGGGAAACATTGACAGCCAAAGACTTTGAGTCTGGAGTAATCTGGTGGCTTGAAGAAGAGTAATTCCCAAGGAGATGTAGAAAGGCCAGAGATTGGCAACCTGTTAATAAGATACACAGCCGTGGAAAAGGCTTCCACCCAATAAAGATGTGGAACATTAGAAGCAACAAGTAATGTACGGGCAGTTTCCACAATATGGCGGTGTTTTCTTTCAGCACAGCCATTTTGTTCAGGAGTGTGAGGACATGTTAATCGATGAAGAATACCATGAGTGTGAAGAAAAAACTCAAACTTAGCACCAATGAATTCACCCCCTCAATCGGACTGCACAACTTTGATTTTATTTCCAAGTAGATTTTCTACATATTGTTTGAATACAACAAAAGTAGAATAGGCATCAGATTTTGCCTTTAATGGAAATAACCAACTATATCTACTGTAATCATCTACAAGCAACAAGTAGTACTTAAAGCCACTAGGAGAAGTGATGGAGGCAGGACCCCAAATATCACAGTGTAGTAGTTGAAGACTGTGAGTACTTGTAGAACTGGCAGAACCAAAAGGAAGCTTGTGACTTTTAGCTAAAGCACAATCTGAGCAGAAAAGATCACCAGCAGGTTTGCCTTGCACGACAAGCTTATTTCCTGAAAGAACCTTGCGAAAAATAGAAGAAGATGGATGACCCAATCTTCGGTGCCAAATCTGTACAGGAGCTTTGACACTTATTAAAGCTGAGGGTGATGAGGAGGTGGGAGGACTAGAGCCTTGAAGAGGATAGAAGCCATCTTCAACTCGTCCTCGCAAAAGCGTCTTCCCCGAAACTCGATCCTTTACAGTGGATCCATCAAGGTTAAGAGTCAAGGCACAATTATTATCTTTTAAAAATTGATAGGCAGATAATAAGTTGTGTTTCATAGCAGGTACATGTAAGACATTACGCAACTTAAAGGAAGTATGAGATGTATCTAAAGAAGAGATACCAATATTGTGAATAGGCAGACCTTTACCATCTCCTATATAGACCTTGTCTTCACCAGTGTAAGGAGAGGCAACAGAGAGATTTGCAATGTCATTCGTGATATGTGAGGTGGCTCCAGAATCCAATAGCCAAGATGGGGATGGTTTGGATGAGTAGTAAGCACAAAGAGCTGCAAGTTTGGCTGGTGGCACCCGTCCAAAGATCTCAGGGTTCATCATGTCAAAGCAATCAATTGCTTCGTGGCTGGTGGAACCACATATTTGACATGTGGTCTTGTGATTTGATGAAGAACCTTGGTTGTGAGATCGGGGGCCTTGATGAAAGGCACGAGGCTGACTTGTACGATAAGTACCAGTGGAGTTGCCACGGGAATTACTGACATTTTGATTGCATCTGAAAAAATTACGATTGTTCCGGCCTCTATTAGAATTGTATCGAGAAGAAGATTGAAGAGGCTGACTATATGCAGCAAAGGCCTGTGAAGAAGGCGTTGGGAGCAAAGGTGCTTGAGACTGAACAGAGAATGCTTGAAAGGGCTCCGTAGCAGTGGTGGACAGAGTGTGCTTTCGACGAGCCATGGAAAGCTCTTTGGTCAGCAACAGACCATGCAATTCATCAAGAGAAGTAGAAGACAATCGCAGCATGATGGAGTCAATGAAGGACTCGAATTCATCAGGAAGACCGTGAAGCGTTGCAGCAATGAGATCACGATCAGATACAGTGGCGCAAGCAGCATTGAGAGAATCCGAAATTTCCTTGATTTGCTGTAGATATTCCGAGATCGATTGAGAGCCTTTTTGAATCGATTGAAGACGAGAACGAATCTGGTGAATGTAAGCTTCAGAGACGCCACCAAAGCGTTGTTC